GCGGGCACCCAGAGCGGGCACCCAGAGCGGGCACCCAGAGCGGGCACAGCCCTTCCTGCAGCCAGGAATAGAAAAACATTTCAGATGCCATGCACCAATGCACAGTCTGTTCCGGAGGAAAGAATTTTCTTTTTTTTTTTTGCAGTCAAATTCCATGGCAAGTAATTCACAAGTATTATTAACTTAGTTTTGAGGACAACAACTATAGCCTGTTCCATCTTCAACACAGATTTCAGTCTGCGGAGCAAGCCCAGTCTCTCCTCAGCTCAGCCCTTCTGGATGAGGCCGGGTGCTGACACCCCACCGACACGCACAGCAGCGCAGTGGCCGGGGACACAGCAGGGTGAGCGCAGCACCGCGCGGCCCCAGGATGTGGGATGCAACCAGGGAGCTGGGCATGAAGTGGGAACGTAAATCCAGCGAGAAGCACAACTCCCCTGTGTTTGGTTGCCAGATCTTTCTTCTCTAACCTACAAAGCTGAACTGAAATGAAGGCACTATAAGGAGCCCGTATTTCAAAGTCTGAAATAAAATTATCTTCCCATTGTTCTTGCAGTCCTTCTACACGTTTAACAGTCCTTCTTCCCCTTTAGTTTTTCATACAAAGTATTTCCCATAGCTACACAACACTAAATCTTAACAGTCAGGGGTTAATAAAACTAAGTAGAACAAGTTATTTATTAACTGGACTCCCAGTTAGCATCCAAGGTACACAGGCTATTAGACACCTACTTGATGTCTCTATTTCCAGCTAACAGTTACTTACGAAAACTTGGACGCACCAGGACTGGCTATACCATCCGGGTCTGTCTTCTGATCTCAGAGATCACCACATCAGCATCAAAGCAGAAATCTTGAGCTTTCTCCAGAACTCCACAGCAATATGCTTTTTTTTTTTTTTTTTTTTTTTTTTTAAAACTGCTTTCTCTATGGCCAAGGAGGTCCCTGTCCCACTGCCCCACGCACCAGGAGAGCCCAGCACATCTGCCTCCCCTCTTTAGGCAGGCAGCGCCGGTGACATGCTTCAATGGATCAGAGGACACCTGTCTTCGTGTTCAACTATAACCTATCGAAGAACCTCGAAAGATACCTCAAATTGTTGGATCATACTGAAACAAGCAAGTTTCCATCCAATCCTCCAGTTTCCACTCTTCACTTACCAGAAGAACTTTAAATAGAACAACATTTCACAGAATATACTGACTAAAGTGCAAAAAAAAAAGGGAAGCGATGCAGCCGAGACCACTCCTGAAGGCTTAAGAAGGTCATGGGAACTGCAGGCCTTTCTGATCAGCCCAACATGGAAAGCTGCAGAATAAAAGGTCAAAGCCAACAGCAGCAGCCCCACACTAGAAATCAGAACATGATGACAAGAAAGCCGCAGCAGGCTCAGGAAAATTAGGATATCGTTATAAAGCAATTAATTTCCCCTCAGAGAAGTAGCTTGGTTATTTCTAGCTTCTTCATTAAAGCAGGCTTCAAGGGGCCCTTCAGGATCTGTCTCACATCTTCGCTGCTGACCATTTGCATCGTGCCAGGGTGCAGAACCACACTCTGGGTCACCACAGCTCCTGCATCTGGGGTGTGTTTGTTCTTAGGGCTCCCACCGTACCGACACAACACAGCTCCCACTGCTTTCTTCAGACACAGCCTTCGTGTGCAGCCTTACAGATTCTTCAGATACAGTCAGTGAAAGATTCAGAGCAAAACCCCAGCCCAGGTTCCCTGATTGCCCTGATATGACCTCTCATTAGCACCATCCCTTCCTTCTGCTCTGTGAGCATTACTCAGCCCTGCCTTATGCTGATCTGCCCATAAAGGCAGAGATGCAGCTAATTGGCTCCCAGGTGGCAGCGCCGTCCTCAACTGTCGCTGGGCTTTGACAAGGCATTAAGCTGCAAAACCAGGATGCTCAGAGGCCCATAGGACGAGCTGCTATGGCCCTGGTGAGCTTCAGCACAGTCATCTTGCTTCCATAGAAGGAGGAACAGCTCATCTGCCTTGCAGTGCTAGAACAGTGCTAAGCACAGCCCTTTAATCCTTCCGTTCCTTGGAATTAAGTATGGAGACAATGAATCGCAGTTTATTATGTCTCTGTTAATGTTTAACTAAAGATTTTATCTTCATTCTTTTTGTTGTTGGCTTTCATAGTATCCTTAATAGTTGGAAGAGACCTGAGGGCCATCTAGTCCAACTCCCCTCGATTTGCTGTGCAGATCAGATGATGACATAAAGGAATAAATGGTGCAGCCTAGCTCACAATCTCATGTTTATTCTACAGTTCAGCTCTGTTTCTCAAGCAATCTGTTACAACATGATTGGAGGAGTACACAAGCAGGTTGTCATAACCTAAATATGGACAGATTCCTAACACGTAGAATTAGTCATGAATACTTAAAGACTGATAGAAATGGTCCCCAGAGGAGCAACTTGATCTAACCCATCTGAATTCCAATTATCAACTGCAAATTCACCCCCACAAAAGGGGAGGTATGCCTATATACATAGAAAAAAGTCCACAGAGAACTCAAGTTGTTGAGGCACAGTGCTGGCCCTGACTGAGCTCCGAAAAAAGCACATGGCTGGAACAGCAATGAACTCCAGTGCTGCCACAGTCAGCTGTGCTGTGGCAGACTCAGATCCCAGCAGGGGGATCCAGGTGATCCTGGAAGTCCTGCACTTGCAGAACAGAAGGGTACTGTTAAACACAGCTGTTAACAGAAAGGAGCTCCAAAGAAGAAAAGCATCATTGTTCCTACATTGACCAAATCTCGGCCATACCGTGAATATATCAGCAAATACTTACCTACCCAAGTGCAATGAAGTCACTGTCTCCGTGTGTGCGGGAGCTATGCAAACGTGCCACTATGTTTTCACTTCACTTTCAAAAGGCTCTCATATACAGAAAATACATTCCTTCCTATACACTTTTTGTTGATGAAAAAATTCTGATTGTTTCCGCGTGACACTGGAGCACAGCTTCTGGATTTTGTCTGAACAAAACTCACAGTGAGACGCACAGCAGCCTTAAATGGGTGTTCAGTCCAT